GTTGATAACTTTTGGCTTTTGCGTACGGTACCTTATAGGACATGACTAAGATGATCAGTGGAGGTGTATCAACTTAACGGTACCATGTTGAGCAGGTGGTGATGTTAAATGGACTGATTTTAGGCAGTTGGGGCCTTGGTGGTTTTGAAAATCTGGGTATATGATTACGTAAGCAGGAGTGTTTACCAGGCCGAGATAGGTGTCCCCAACTGATTCTATTTACCCGGCGATACGTTCCATCTCCATTATTATACGAAGATGGCGCAAACAGGTCTATCGAACTGAACGGAGAAACACATTCGGACGGAGGAGGCTGCTCTGTTCCTTGAGGCGCGGCAACAACATTCGTTTAGATCGCCACAATGAACAGATCTTCTCCCTGCCCCATGAGATCAGATATCCTTACTAATAATTTTCGGCAGATGTACGTTTCCAGGAACACCGTTCCAACAGAGCCACTGTAGTATAGTGCTGCCGTATGAAGCGAGTAGAAGAGTCAGATGAGGGTTGCTAGCATTAAGCTCTGTACGGTAGCAGCCGCGCTTCGGTAGCTCCAACCCAATTGGCTGAAGCGACCGGTCCAGGTCAGGTCACGTCCGAACACCTCAAGGAAGCAGTAGTGTTAGCCCTATGTTAGTCTGCTCTCTACGACGCTTCTCTACATGATAAAAGAATATCGGACGACTGGCAGAGAGCACTCTTTGCCGTTGTGCCGAAAGGCAAAGACGATCTTTGAAAACTGTGCTCGTGGAGGGCAATTGCTAAAAAGAACTGCCGCTACAAGCCACTTTCAGCCATGTTTTTCATGCGTCTCTGTGCTTTCTTGAAAGCTCGAGGTATAATCTCGGAGGAAGAGCACGGCTTCTGTAGCCACGGCTGCTTCCTAAGATAGAATCTGTCATAAGCACAAAACGCACCAAAGAGTTTATCTATGCTGCATTGGTGGATTTCGACGCGGTATTCGACAAAGCGCTAAATGCTGTTCAAGATCGCAAAAACGGGAATTTTCTGCGAACTGATTCAGCTCATCAATTCGATTCTACATAAGAAGAACCCCTTTGCGATACAAGATGGCCTAGCGGACCTAGAATCCTTTTAAAACACGAAAGAAAGCTAAGGATGCAACATGAGCCTTTTTCTTCTCTCAGTCCTCCTGAACGATCTGTCAAGCAGTATAATCTAGAAGCCCACATCTATGGGCGCAGACTTTCTTTTTGTACGCCAGTGAACTTGCGATCTACAGAATAAATCGATTTGAAATTCAGCAAATATTAGCTTGTCTTCAACAGTACGTAATGGATGTCTGTCTAGAAATCAACTTAGACAAAGCCAAAGGTACAGGGTTCCGAAAAATAGGGTCAATAAGAGCAGAAGACACTCTCCGGTTGTACTCTTCGTCTCTAAAACAAGTGCAGTGTTTTTGCCGTCTAGATCTGACTGTGCTCTGCCTTGAAGCTTGCCACATCAAGCAGATAATAGCATACGTTGTGAAAATACGGGTAACGAGTGCTGTCATAGGAAAGCCGTCGATTCTCTCTCTTCAATATCAATAGGCCTCTTCAATATCAAGCTTGCATCAATGGTCTCGTATGGCATTAAACCCTGCTAAGAAAATCCTCGGCACAACCAGAGCGAACAAGTTGAACCGAGCGAACCTTACTTTTCGGCCTGCATGCATTCTGCCATCACCTCTACGTGCATTCGCTGGCGAATATGGCGCTGCTTTTTGAGAATCTCCAAACACCGGTTTGGTCTACCGAGAATGCCCATTTGCGTAAAGTTCATATGACAATGAGAAGGTGGCTGGGTTTAAATCAGAGCTCTTTACGGACGGAACATGGAAGAAACCGCAAAAAAAAGTGGACATGTACTAGTCCTCTGTTGAAGACCTGGTTTCCACCTTGATGTCTATCCTAATCAATTATACTATCAACCAATCAGAACCTACACCTGTGTCCGCAGCAGGGACTTTTGTCAACGTTATTACGTAGGTTTTTATCCAAGGACGTCTGTCTCGAATAGCGTGACGCAGAGAAGAGTAGCAAAATTAGATGAATAAGGATACACTGGTACTTTAGTCAGTTTGCGAATACGGCTAATTGCAATAGTTCGACGCCTTTGCTTGCACGTGTTGAATCGAAGTTAGAAAAACTGAACTTTCGGTGCTCAGAACTTACTTACGTATTGTGCCCGTCATATAGAGCACTGCTGTATGCTTCAACGTTGCACGAGGCTTAATAATAATAATAATGCAGTTAAGCTAAACTCATAATTGTAGATTACAATATCTATTAAACAAAGTAGGAAGGAAGCGTTCATGACAGTCCAAACAAAAGTTTAACCGTTTTACGCAACTAGACGACAGAAGGTTGAGACTCCTGGAAGTCTTGAATGATTTCGAAAGGCGCGATGCAGCACGAATATGCGTAACTCAAGATGTTCTTAGGCCTACCAGTTGGTGCATATACCATTTAAACAGGTAGGACGACGCAGATCGATGATTTGCTGGATTGGCTATGTAAGGAAAATATTGAGCCCATAGTCCAATTAGTGAATCTAGGTTATTTTGGTTTTCGTTAGGAGAGCAGCGTAGCTACAGCGTTCTTAATTCTAATGTTATTATGTCAATATCATATAGGTTTATTTGCTATTTAAACTTTTCACATCTCAGAGAGGTGGGCGAGGTCAAAATAGAGATTAATAAACCTTTATTTTAGGCTCCGTTACCTTTCATAGGAGCTTTCACCATTAATTTTGCAACAGTCCACGGATGCTACGCTACGCTACGCATTTGTGTTGGTAGCACGATCGAGGGCTTCAAAGGTGAACGGATACCATAAGAGCAAACTCCAGCTGTTTAGGGCTTATAGACGACATCCATCTCACATCGATGACAGTTTGTATAGTCTCAAAATGATTTCATTAGCGATTGTTTGCAATTTTCATTTCCGGCACTGCCATTAGATATTGGCCCCAGCGCAAAATGGAGTGGCGCGCTTTTGAGCCTTGACTAGCCCACGTGAGCCTAGGCTTCGTGAAGAGACACGCTACCATGGCTCCATCATTGGCGCCACAATTTAGCACCAACGTGTAAACCGATCTGTTGTAATGAAACAACGTTTCATACGTACGAGAGCACAGCAGGTACCATCTTGTCTTTAACATGCAGTCAGAGAATATTTCTGCGCTGTATCATCTAGTTTATGTCATTTAAGTATGATACGGCACATTCCTTCCGGTACGTGCCCTTATTTCCTCCATATTCATTTCTCTTGAGCCTACTTTCGGTTTAAATGAGGGACGCTTAACAACTTAACACCGGCGTAGTATGTTACAAAGCTCATATACCACTTCGGAGCGCGATTTCAACATTGGAATTAAGAATCTTACCTAAATACCCCTGAAATTTCTTTTGATTGTGGAATATTTCAGTTCATCGAAGCACAGCGACATAACCCAGCCCATACGATATGCAAATTGATTCAAGGTGGCGTTACCTTATAAGGGTGCGACATTATCCTTTATATTAAAGATACCTTTTAGAATCCAAGAGCGTTCAGTGAAATATGGTCACTCGAGCTTCAGTGGGTGACTTGCAGATATCCAGGAAAAATAAGGTAATTCGAGTGGTTCAAGTGCCTGGAATTATATGAGCGGGCCGTGGGAATTCTGTAACCGGATCTACTTGTGAAGCTTTGGCACCAGAAACACCGTAAATTTTAATTTAATAAAAAAAAATCCGAGAGGGTTATTTTGAATATGAAAATGGTGCTTGAAGTTGAGAACAGCGCTGGAGTTGGAGGCGGATTTAAAGGTGTACGAATATTGGCACTCAGGCAGGTGTAGACAAAAATGCTGCTATCCTTATTTATCCTAATTAAATTAATGTAAGGTAAATAAACTGGGAAAATTGGTGCCGCATCATCTGAGAGAGCCCGCAAAAATGCTTATTTTTTTCCTTGCTGTATCCCTATTTATAAAGCGATTTTAACTTATGATCAAAAATTAATCCTTTACGATAATTGCAGATGGCCATACCAGGAACTGAAGTGGCGGGCCATCGTTCTTAAGCGAACGTACAGCTGCGGAAGCTAATGGGTGGCCAATGTTGAAGCTATTCGCTATAGCTTTGGCATTTCTAGTTGACCGGTTATGGCCGAAGAGAACTTCGCATTAAGCAGAGGTAACTTATTTATTTCTGTTGCAGGATAACCTTGAATCTTATATCGCAAGAATCATGACGGTAAAAATGCAGAAGTTACAATTGGAGGCTTTTCGTCGTCCATTATACTCGCTAGACGTTGCTGCTACAACTTGCCACTTGTGAAATCTCGCAACTATTTCTCGAGACTTGATAGCCTTTCGTACCCCAAATTTCTACAGCAGTGAAATACGTTTCTATCGGAATGACAAACGATCATGTATAATGCAAATTAGATTGGAAAGTTAAAAAAATTAAGTCTGTGAAACCAGTTCGAAGAGTTCGTATGCTAAGTTTCATAACGAACGGCTACTTAACGGCTTGCTCCGAGAAAAAAAAACTCAAAGAGGAAGAATAGGACCTTTTGGCTAGGTTTTATTGAAACAAAAAAGACTAATAGACAGTGTTAGCTTGGTTTGCTCTTTAATTGGGCTCTTACGCTCCACGTAATCCAACTTCAAAACAGTTTCTTCGTCTCTAAGGTATAATAGGACTATACAGGTTAGCGATAAGGTTATATAGGCCACCAATTGTTCTATGCGAGGAAAACAAGATTTAAATATTGCTCTTATATTTCTTAGTTGTATACTTGCTAAATGTTCATTTTAATAAAGAAGATAGACGTCATTGTGTGCACAAGTAGCGTGTATACCTGTAGAGTACAAATGAGGGGGACCTAACTGTCGGATCGTTAAAGCGAATAAACTTATACCGATGTTTTTTTTTTTTGTGGGAATAACTAATAATCTACAAGCTTAATGGTTCACTTCTTATGATAAGATAACAATGGCAACGAAGTTCCTCCAACAGAGCCTCCATTTAGTGGGCTAAAAGTACTTATTGATACTGGAATGAGGCTCCTTGGCAGCCCGCCGGTTTCGACTGACCATTAGCCTCTACGATTGAAGGAATGAAATGTTCTCGTGTGAAAATGGCCTACTCAAAGGAAGGACACCAGTCCTTGCCATTCCCACTAATAATTCGTATGTACTTGCCAATCCGGTTAGTTTACAAGATGATAGAATTATTTTTTTTTCTATTGAGTTGAAAAACTTTTGAGAAATCTGACGGCGGTGGGGATCAGATGCAATTTGGTTCATAATGGATGAGAACATTGATTAGCGCATTAGGTAGCAGGCGGGGAGCGTATATCACATCGAGGCAGTAAGAATAGCGTGTTCATTGGAAAAATTTGATGTGTGAACGACCTTCAATAGTTCCAAGATGGCCCGAATCTAGACGAGCCCTAGATCGTTGACCTCATTTACGTGCTGATCGAATTGCAATGCCGTACGCAATGACTGATTTGAAACGGGGTATAGAAATACTAGAGAAACTTCTACCCCTAAGACCACAAAGCATAGTACAAGATTTTAAACGAAAGTTAAGAAACTGATCTTTTTTAGCTTAATTTTTTTCCGAATGTTAAGTCGAGGCACCTTACGAATTATAGTCAATTTCAGTGCCAATTTCTTCCTAAGGCTGCAGATGTCCGCTTAAGACCACGATCCGCGAACCTGTTTCAGGAGCATAAGATCGTCGATAAAGTGAACAATCGACGTGCGACCTGGTTTCACCTAATTCGATATGAAGAAACAGGACATTTATGTGAAGGGATATGATGGAGGGTCCTAATAATCGCCGGCACCAAGTGACCTAATAAAATGGGATTTTATAAACATTCCAAGTGTCCCGAATTGACGGCGAAATTCTCGGAGCGGCGTCCAGGACTGCGGTAGCTGTAGGTTTTGCTGACCGGCCGCAATGGAGCCCATTTTTATGAAAAAGGAAACAAATAATTGAGCTACATCAAGCTAGCCTTCAAGTGTCATGCCATTAGTTTTCATAGTGCTTAGTGAACAGGTTTTGTTTTTTATGACGGCTGCCGAACAATACGTGACAGCAATTAAGCATGGGCATAGGAAATTGTCGTTGCTTCCACAGCAGTCTCGACTGACGCCCGATCTGTGTTGGCCAATTTTATCATCGACATGCTTTTTCCTTAAGTTGTCAAAAGATTGTCTAGAATGACGAAGATCTACTGAAGAAATTCCAGAAGTGGGCCATTCACAGTGGATGAAACTCTTTGCCAAAAAATGCCAGTATCCTTAATTTTATATATAGAGAAGTTTACAAAGTGGACTACGGAGTCTGTATCTGTAAGCTCGTCAATTGGGTATCACTAACTTATATGCGTTCTAAACTTTTCGTTCGTTAGTAGTACATCTTTACAGCAACGATGTGACAGCTGTCATGGACGAGCGCAACTAGTAAATGTATATATACTTTGCGAGTAATTTATAGCGTTAAACGTTCCACTAGTTCTGCCGATCGTCAGGAAATAACAATACAATCAATAGATCATCACCCCAAACATTTTACAGTTTATACACACATGTCAGGCAGAAAAAAAAAAGGATTTAGCAGATCGTACTTGAAAGAATTGGTGAATACAGATATAAATTGTTTCCGTCTCGCGTAGAAAAAGTTATCTCTGAGCGTTAAAAAGAGGAGATATTAGCGTTTTGTAAAAAATATCCCCTGGAAATTGCATAGCGGCAATATTGTCTTCTGTATGTAATTGTGTTAACTTACTGTTCATTTTAATGTAGCGGATATTAATGTAAAGCTCGATATATTTAACATAGTTTACCTAAATCACCAGTCAACTCGGCAAAAGGTAGTCAAAATTCCGTGTTCAGACACATATGAAATGTATTTTGCTAAAGTGATACGTTCATCGTATATACCCTCAGCATGCATACCTATTTCATTTTACAGGCTGCCCCTTTTGAGTACTTGCGGTTAAGACGGCCAGATTTTATCTCCTCTCTCGCTCGGGTCGACAGGTTGCCACGACAGTTCTGTCTCTTCTTATTGCCCTCGTTGTAGCTAGAGCCTCATTGGTCATCCATTGATCTTATGTCGTCGTTCAGTCCATTATCGGTATCAGGAGCGCGTTGCTCTTGCTCAGATTGCGGGTATGACAATTTACTTATACTGATGGTGAGTTGGGATTAGCCACTATGATATCAACTACTGAATCAAGGTACTTGACGTAGAAATTTTTCCACCGATGACCCAATTAGCATTTTAAGTAGGTGGACAAAGCAGCTTTTGCCAGTGGGAAAGATTCGCAGCGAACATAGAGATTTGAACTAAAGTTTGACCTCATACGCCCGGACTAAAGGCACTTGCGACACATAGCTGCCTCGTATGTGACAGGTGGTCATGTTTTACTGAATGGACGCTCGTCTAAGGACAATTGGTTTGTTTTGTTTTGGTGAACTTCGTCAGTAGCCCGGATGACTGTGCCGTATCTCGTGAGAACCATTTGAAGTTCTGCATTTTGAACGACAAGTGAAGGTGAAGCTACTCGAAGCATCTGCTCTCAGCTCCTAGCCCATTTTATAGTCATCTACGATGTGGGATTTGGTTCACTGTCTGGGAGCGCTTCGGCTACATTTTGCTAGAGATTTTCAAAGCCGGCATTGACTCAAACCTACTGACGGATTTCTTGTTGCTTAATTGCTGTTAACGGACGGTTAACAGCGATCAAGGCATGCAATAACGGCGCCGATGACGATGTCCGCGTCTGCCCTCTACTGTGAGTTCAGACTCAGGTTTTTGGACTAACTTAACGCCGTTCCGTAGCGTCCGAACGGACTGTACTACCCGTTGTTCCATTGGGTGCAAGGTTTCGAAAACCATCCATGCCGCCATTTTGTAGTCTCATATTGGAGAGGCGAAATATTGTCGAACTACCAGCTTTGTTTAAAAGTTTGCTTTTCCTTTCTAAGTCTATTAGCTGACGTCGAACGGTGTAAAAGAAGTCTAATGATGAAAGAAGCCAACTTATATGGGTCTCGTGAAAACGGGGCTATATGCTTGTTGTAATGCCACTTAAGCAACTAATTAACCCAGCATTCTTTAAGCCCATTTTTTTTTTTAAGCTTTCATCAGCATAAACAGAGACACCTCGTCTAGATTGAAGGTATGTCAGTGAGTGAGATTGTAGAATTCAATAGAACTTCATTTTTCTTGAATTTTAAGATTGTGTCCATCATTCCCTTTTGAAGTGCAGATGAAAAGAGGTCAGATAACCGCTAGAAAAACTAACCTTGCCGTGAAAAAAGGCAATCACCTAATGTCTGCATGTATTCTGGCCGTGATGCTAACGGTCCGATAGCAGTTCCTTTGTAAATACAAACCCAATTGACTTTGCCCCAGGCATAGTTCAAATTTGCGTGATTCTTGCATATTGAACAAAATACGTCTCTAATATAGTCTCTTTTAAGGTAGGTGGCTAATTCGTATAGTGCCCATGGTAACCATAAATGTGTTAGTTCATCGCTGATTCAAATGTCAGCGTTGGCAAATGGTTACTGTGACACATTGTTCCCATGGCGTTTGATAGGTCTATTGGAGAACAACCCAGTTTAGTCCAGCGAAACCCATCTGACGCAATGCTTAACACCTCAAGTATCGAACATGAAAAAAATAAGTTTTGCATTTTCTACGGTACAAATGCACGAGGTGGTTCGTTCAGGGGGAATAACTACAAGCAGTACCAGAGTAGCTTGCTTGAGATAGATAGCATCTAGTGTTAATCAACACGATGCAATAGTGTACAATGGTATGTTTATGAATTAAACACATGTAAGAATCTACGTTACATTTGTCGGCAGTATTGTGCAATTTAGACGATGCTCTATGAAATCAAGGTGATCTCGTTTTCTTTCTGTTTGTTTAATGCATGTGTGTAGAAACTTACAAACTATAGTTAGTAAGTTCAAATAAATTTTCACTGAGCATTAATAAGTTACCGTACAAGCATGTGATACAGTCGTCTACGATAGTGTATCTCCTTGAACGCTACCTCTTTCTTATATAGCGTCTTTTGAAAATAACCTTACACGCATGGCAAATTAACATAAAAACATAAGACCTCAATTCAGTATGACAACTATATGTATGCATATATGTACCCACTGTGCTGTGTAGTATTCCGAGGAAACAGTTCCTCTGGTTTCCTTAAACAATTAGCAATCGATGACCTTTTGACCGCCTCAGGGCCACATTGTACCACTCAATGTCGTACCTTTTTTAAACGAAATTTACTTTCAGTGCATCTCAAAAGACACAACGAAAAATTAAGCTATCTATTCTGATTCTTTATCGTTGAGCAAAAGTTCAACAAAACTGCCCCACCAATAATGGCGTTCAATTTTTCACTCATATGTGTCCTAAGAACTCTGGAGGTTTGGCAGGATTATTTTCAAAAACTAAAGCTTCTTATTAGAGAAAACGGTGTAGCCCACATAGCTCCTAATCGATATTGTCATTTCCCATTTCTGCATCTGTGATATCTACATAAACTACTGATTTCCTACGTGCGGATGAGAGCACTGAAACGCACGCAAGTTACGAACGGAGTGCCAGCTACAGAAGCTTTATAAGAAACACGCCCTGTACTAATTTCGCAGGCACGTCCTGCAATGGTACCCACGCCACACTGTCATCTAGATTAGAGCAGATCTCAGGCCTAAGCCCTTAGGTACTAGAACGAGCACATGAACGTTACCATCTAAATGGATTTTGTACGCGAAGCGAAGCTTTCGTGTCCTTTACTTGGTATAACTAACAACGAATAAACAAAATCTCACGCGTCATTATGCGCTGATTGGCTCGTTTTTTCTGGGTATACTTCTAGTCAAACAGCCAGGAGATAGGAAACTGTAATTGTCACACGATTTGAATTGCATCGTCTTACTTAGAACTGTTACATTTCTTGAGTAGTACGACTCAAACTAGCAAGGAATATAGGGTATACACGATGTATATTATGACGGTATAATTTTCTCAAGTTCGTTTATGGAAGTGTTGCAGATTGTCTACTGTTGTTTAGTAGGAAGAACGAGGAGTCCTCTCGATAGAGGATTTAAAGATTGTAAAAGCAGTCCCGAAATGGCGAGGGCAGAAGTGAACGATGGGTGCCAAACTCATAATAGCTGGACGAAGATATTCAGTATGAAAACTGCAAGGCGTTAAGAACAAAAGAACGAAGAAGAAGAAGAATTTATATAAGGCCGGCGTCTACAGCCGTTTGAGCGTTTGCTTAATTATGATTTTTTCTTGTTAACGTAGTACCTATAATGGAAAAAATAGCGTACTTAAATAGGTTTTTTGTTATTTCGCCGGCCTATTGTATTGTCTCCTTATTAAAGCGAACGGCGCGATTCAAAGCGCGTCTATCAAAGCTTTACGTTTATGTAAAGTGTTTTTTTTCTTCACAGGAATATCTATCTCCCGCTGATTAGGGTCAGTGATTTTTATTGACGTGACCAAAGCTGCTGCTGTCATTGAACTTTCTTTTGTTTCGATTTACTGAAATACGACATCTACGTGACGTCCTTGTATTAGGTGGATATTGACGATTTTCAAATCGAAGAAAATGTCTTTCTATTTCAAAATAGTATTTATGCGCCATCTTGGCAGATGACCTTCTGCCATTTTTCTGGTAACATTATAATCCCGTAACTGTAGAGCCTCTGTCGCGTTTGGGTGAGAAACTATGAAAAATAATTTTTCTATTTCTCCAGTGAAACTTAATTAACACCGTTAAGGGAGCCCTGCAGAGACCGAAGCAGACGATAGTCTAATGCTGTAAGGTCCGAGCCATGCGGTGGACACATGACAATTTCCCATCTGTCTTTCCAACGTTTGCCGAATAACTAAGGAAGATTTGTATGATCATGGTGGAAGATATCGCCTGTTGGGTTTACTAGTTTAAGTCGATTTTTTTCAAAATGGCTTCTT